CGGCGCGCGGGCGTCGAGGGGCCGGGACGGGCGGCGCGCGGGCGTCGAGGGGCCGGGACGGGCGGCGCGCGGGCGTCTAGGGGCCGGGACGGGCGGCGCGCGGGCGTCTAGGGGCCGGGACGGGCGGCGCGCGGGCGTCTAGGGGCCGGGCCGGGTGGCGCACTGGCGTCTAGGGGCCGGGACGGGCGGCGCGCGGGCGTCTAAGGGGCCGGGACGGGCGGCGCGCGGGCGTCTAAGGGCCGTGACGGGCGGCTAAAGGGGCCACTAGGGGCCAAGAGAGAGGGGAGCGCGACTCGGGTAGGGGCAGAGTGCGCTCCGGGCAGGAAAAAAAAAACGGTGCCCTAGGAACAGTTCCCACGAGGGAACCTGCTCGATACCATGAGAAAAGTAGAACGAGAATGGATGAACTATGAATGAAGTGAGTACATATGGGAAACCCTAATTGGGTTGTACCCCCTATGGGATACCCCACTATAGCCTACACAACAGCATAAGCTATATATATGTTCTGACAATTTCATCCCTGCTTTTTTTTCCCAGCGAAAGCAAATGAAGACGTTGTGACTCACTGACCCTGCACAACATAACAAGAGTAACCAAAAAAAGGAGAATACTTCGTGTAGAAATTATCACGAGTCAATAATTCGATCAATGTGTTTAACAAACCCATGTTACAATCAGCACCATATTGTACGCTACTCCAAAGCCATCTATTAAAAATGAATATGAGGTTTTATGATAAATTGGCGCTTTGTATCTTGCCTGGTCGCCACAATGCTTAGCGAGTTTCACGGGTGTCGATGGAATGGCGGGAGGAGCATTCGGCGCTACACGTTTGGTGTTGCCGTTCACAGCTTCTGTCATAATATATTTTATAAATATTTCTGTATAATTGCGTGTAGTTCTGGCTGTAGTGTAGTTGTATAGCTGTCCTGTTTGGTGGTGCACCCTTTGGCTTGCTATATCTTGTAACTCTTCTCTTAGTGAACTCCTCTTTGCCCAATTCTCTCGATAGTTCATCTCACCACCCCCTTGCCTAGCTAACTAAACCATAGCTATGGCTATTAAGTTCTACCTGTCAAACTATTATGTTATGTGTCTTGTGTAGGCTGTAGTGGGGTAGCCAATAAGGGGTACAACCCAATTAGGGTTAGTACTTGTACCACATTTCTGTTCAATGCATTCATTCTCGCTTAGTCTTCTGACACTACCTACTATTTTGACAGCTTCAACATGCTCCTCTTATAAACATGACACAAACATAGAAAGAACACGCAAATAAATTGTTTTTGATGTGCAAAGAAGTTAACATGTATAGTTTTTTTGCATGCATAAATAAAGAAGATAACATATGACGTTATGTCTCCTACAATTTGGAATAACGAAATTACCACGAAGAATGCAGAGATTGTCCTGTCAAAACGATTTCCAACCGCCTTCACGATCATCTGTGGTGGGATGAAAAGGACAAACGACAAAAGTTGTGCAACATGACATTTTAATTAACAATGAAATTGGTAACATCTTATCATATTACAATATTAACTATAGTAGATGATATTGACAAACACAATGTCCTTGTTAAGTTGCATGACGTACCTTGATTTGATGGCGCTTATGAAGGAATTTTGATAAAATCTCCCGCTTGCCAGCAGAATCAACTGCAACCCATGTCGCAATGCTGAAACCTTCTAATCCGTTCTTGAGAGCACCCTGGCTCATTGTAGCACTCACACTTGTGCGGGCGAGCTTTCCACCTTTGATAGAAAAAATGGAAAATAAAAAAACAAGTTGAGCGAGATAAGATCATAACATTAGAAAACGATGAGCTTCGAAAGCAATCTTTTATCGAGCACGTAGATATCGATATCTATTTACATGATGAAAAGACAATGAATGAGAATACATGAACAAGTAAAAGCAACATCTATAACAAAAATGATGGAAACAAAGAACAAACACAAGCACATGTCGCTGTGTCGAAAACCGCAACAATGGTATCCTGTGTCGCGCGTCCGCATCCTGTGTCATATGCTCCAAGTCACAGAGGTACCCGTCATTAGTGAAACCCCATCCGACGGGAAAACTGCAAGGGAGTGCACCTTCTTCCGGCGGCCTGAATGAACAGACCCACTCTGTAGTGATGTCAGTGATGCATATCTCCACGCGGAGTTCACGTGTGATCTTTTGGCTCAAAAAGATCACATCATCCAAGTGATCCCAAACTGGATGATAGAGGGGAAAAAAATGAGAAAGTGTACATCAATGACATATAAACAACAATTGTTGGTCGGAATTGACATCATTTTTATATTAGACTAACACGAAATGCAAACTTGATCACTATGAATTGCTTGCAACGCTTACGAAATGACGCTGCAGACGTGGGCTAGTGCGGTGAGAACAGGAGCTAGACTCCGCGTGACGCGAGCAACAATAGCATCATCAGTGATTTTGATGATCCTCGACATGGTACGAAAGAATACAATATGAAAATTGTAAGGCATTTGAGGTTATATACATCATGTACAATATTCATGTATCAACAACATGCCTATTCAATGACAAACACATGACTAATCAATAAGCATACAGTAAGACCGCTTGTACAATACATCTTGGTCGTAAAGATCTGGGGATGCTCGACGTAGAACTCAGTGATCCGCAAGTCCACGGGAGTCGATATGAACGAAGTCCTGGTCACCTTTTGCTGCTCTGTCACAAACATGCGAATTCTGTCCGCAGATGAGCCTAACGACGTCAAACCGAAGCGTCCGCTCTCATCAGAACCGAACACAGAATGCGCAGCAAGAAACCAGGCTCCATCTTGGAGATCATAAGCTCCACAATGAAGGATAAAACCAGTACGTAATAAAGACATAAACAATTTGTACAAAACTTTGTTACTATATAAGTATGAACATGGATGATAAAACTACAAATGCGTGATAACATAAGAACTAAATAAGAGTACACATCCAAAGTCTGTTTAACATAAATTTGTAGAACAAAAATATGAGTAATATTAAGTATAATGTCATGACACGACGTGCACACAAACCTGGCGACGTGTGGGCGGATCAGACAACAACAAAGCATCTAGCCGTGTAGGAGAGAACATACTCAACGGAATGATGTCCGTGCCTCAGCCGTCATGCGGGCATGCGATGAATGGTGCTCCCAGTTGAGTGCACCATCCAGTTGCCAGTAGAGTACCTGAAAAGAATTGTTGAGATGAAATGTGATATGGTCAAAAGAAGACAGTGTAAAGGAACCAGTGATAATGGTTTGATTAGCTCAGTATATGTTCATACTACCAACCCCATGCTCCCTCAAAAATCAGGGTGTGGGGAAGAATAATGAAGAAACCACCATGTTGCAAGCATCTTCTTATTAAAGGAAGCTATACATTTCGGCCAACCCCATGTTGCAGACAACATTATTCTATAGACAGCCTCATGTTGTACCAGCGTAAAAAGAGTTTGATGCTTGAGCACGCCCCATCATGCAAGTAGCCCCATATTGCAAGCACTTCCTTATGTAGCCAGCTTCATATTTCAATTAGCCTCAAACTGAAAATAGTCACATAAAGGTCAGATTCATGCTGGAAGAAACGTTGTGCTGCAAATATACCATTCATATCTTGCAACTAACCTCATACTGTAGCTACAACTATGCTATAAGGGTGTATGTCAGTTTGTGCTATGGCCACTGTTTGGGTCATATAATAATCGCACTTGACACAAACACAATAAAGCTCCACTTCTGTCAAACGAATGCATGTAACCCAACCAAGAGTTGAGCGTTCAATTTTAGGCAAGTCGTTTACCCAGGTAATCTTGTCCTAATGGCGAGCACTTAATACTGTCGCATAGCGTCTAAAACCAATTCGCCCAAATCTGAGCAGAAAGGAATGAAACCGCTGAAATTCACGGCAAAACATTTGCCAAACTGCACGCACAATCCGCTCACATTTCACTACGTGTAGACATCGACACTCCCTCACTAGCGTATATTATAACCAACATGCCTTCACATAACACAACAAGGCGTAACAAGGGACGACCCACCCAACGTCTAATGGATGAAGACCCAGCAAGCGGAAGGTACCAAATGCGTTAGCATTAAGCGCAAGGCTGCGCCTTCTCGCAACGGTGGTGCGAGTTCTAGCCGAGCATCAGCATTCTCCAGCGACCATGAAGGCGCATATACAGACGTCTCCAACGGCGACTATGAAGAGATTGCTGATTCGCCGGAAAGCGAGGCTGATCCCGACAACTCCAAGTGCGCCTTGGACAGTGGAGAGGATGATTCTGAGGGTGAAGCTGGTGGTGATGATGACGATACGCAGTGAGCAACACGATACGGAGTCTACACGACACCGTGCTTTCAGCTCTAAGCGCCTTTGGATGCCGAAAGAAGTAACTGCCTTGGTGACGGCAAAACGGTTCTCTTAGAACAGCGTCAATGCCATGCATAGGAAACATGGCTCTCAATATTGAAAAATACATTGCGCCCACGCGAACGGAAAGAAGTGGACCTACAACAACAAGTCTATTGAACTATACATGGAAGAGGCAAGAGAAGGACTATACACTGATAAAAAGGCGGCACCAAGTGCGGTAGGAAGGCGGTAGCGAAAACGCAGTGGTATTGGTACATTTATAATCTCAAGTGTGCTTTGTGAGAATCACGAGGAATGATTGGCTAGGAAATGAGTTGGGTACAAATATGTAACCCTAGGAAACTGTACCCCATACTGTGTACCCCACTACAGCCTAGAAAGACTATAGCATAAATGTTTGACACACCCCCATAGGCAAAGTGGGGGAGAACAAGGGGTCACAAGACCAGTCAAGCAAGGCAAGCTCAGGGTGGATCACAACGTCACCACACATTCCGAGCACAAGTTCAAGGCCACAAGGCCAGTTCACATGCAGGATTATATATAAAGGTAAACAAGCAAGTGCAGGTATAGATAGATCACAGTACAAGCAAGGTCAAGAAGTGAGCAAGTGAGGCCAAGTAGGCACAAGACCTAGCATCGTACAAAAGCGCTGATGATCACAAGGCTGAAGTGCCTTGGTAAAGATATCAGCAGTGTTGGCCCGAGAGGCCACGTAAGCAAGGCGCAGCTGACCACGCTGCTGCAGCTCACGAGCAAGGAAGTAGCGAAGAGCAATGTGCTTCGTCCTGTGCTCCAGTCTGTGCTCCCGACACAAGGCCAGCATGGCCTTGTTGTCTACGTACAGAACTGGAGGAGAACGAGGCGGCTCTCCTAGGTCGGTCAGCAGGTAGGTGAGCCAGCGTAACTCCTGTGCAGCCATGGCCCCTGCGTAGATCTCAGCCTCACAGCTGGAGCCGAGAACAGAAGACGAGCGGGTAGACCGCCACGAAACAGAGCCGGAACCAAGGCTGAAGGTGTAACCCTGTGACGACCGCTGCGTAGCCTGGTCGTCAGCCCAAGAAGCGTCTGCGTCACCTGTGAGGACCACTGCACTCCGCCCTCCAAGCACAAGCCCCATGCCCGACGTACTGCACAAGTAGCGCAACACCTTCTTCGCTGCAGCCATGTGCTCAGGTCTGTGTCTCCCAGGAGCAACATAGCGTGCCAAGATGCTAAGAGGGTATGCAAGGTCAGGTCGAGTGCAGGTCATCGATACATGAGACAGCCAACAAGCTCTGGGTACGGGCCACTCGGCTCTACGGACTCATCCGAAGGCAGAGCTGAGAGCGAGTGGCGAGTAGACAGAGGAGTGGCCTGAGGCCAGGAGTACGTGAAGTCGAAGCGCTGAAGGACCTGCTGCGCCATGTGTGACTGAGTCAGGGTAATGGTGCGCTGTGCTCTGTCCCGGATGATCTGCAAGCCAAGGTAGCTGCGCAGCTCACCCAGGTCTGTGCACGTGTGTCTCTTCTGCAGCTCGGACTTCACGTGGGCGAGTCCAGCAGTGTCAGCAGTAGCAAAGACCAAGTCGTCGACGTACACAAGGATGTAGAACGACGGCAAAGAGGTGTCGGTGCGTAGAAACAGTGACGGGTCGGCAGTAGAAGGAGCAAACCCAAGAGCCGCAAGAGTAGTCCTCAGTGTGTCGTGCCACTCACGTGGCGCCTGGCGGAGACCGTAGAGTGGCCGCCGGAGGCTCCACTGGGTACCAAGAGGAAACGACCCAGTGAAGCTAGGTGGGCGGCGCAGCCAGATCTCCTCGTGCAGGCTGCCCTGTAGGAAAGCAGTGCTGAAGTCAAGAGAGTGAAGCTCGTGGTCGCGCTGAGCGGCTATGTGCAGCAGCACCCAAAGAGTGGTCATCTTCGGGGTGGGAGAGAAGGTCTGAAAGTAGTCAACTCCCTGCCGCTGACTGAAGCCTCGAGCCACGTAAGGCGCCTTGAAGACAGGCGGAGAACCCGGCGGCCGCTTCACCCTGAAAATCCACATGCCACTGACGATGTTCGCCCCAGGTGGGGGAACCTCGTCGACGTAGGTGCCTGTGGACTTCCAGGAAGCCATCTCTGCGTCCATGGCTGACTGCCACTGAGAGAAGTAAGGACCCTCTATCGCCTCTGCGTAAGAGCGCGGAGTCGGGATGTCTGGTGCATCCGGGTCTCCCTCAGGTGCAATCAGCATGGACACGAGATGAGGTAAAGTAGCAGCAAAACACTGGAACTCCTCCTACCTGTCCTCAAGGACGTCCGTGCTAAGAGCACACTCACCCCCGACGGACGGAGAACAGACAGACTCAGACTCAGCAACAAGACTAGCGGCGTAGTCTAGACGACAGTGAGCAGCGAAGTCGACAAGCTCAGCAACTAAGGCAGACGCAGCAGTGGACTCAAAGGAAGGGTCAGTGACAACAGTAGCGAGGAGACGCGTGACAGTAGGGCTGGCAGCACGAAGGGAGTCAGACTCCGGGTCAGCAAGAGCAGGAAGAGAGGACTCCGGAGGAGACGGCAAAGGGACACGCAGTGGAGCAGTGGAAGGACGCAGTGCCATCTGGTGCGTGCCTGGGACCGCAGGAGGACGCTGACACGGAACACGACGACCAGTGCGAGCAGCACGAACAGGCGACGCAGGACGAGACGCAGGCTCACGACGCTCAGCAAGACCTCCAGTAGGACCAGTGTAGGGAGAAGGAGCAGGCAGTGGGGAGGTGGGCTGTAACTGTGACTCGGACTGGACAGGCGGTGGACACTCTAAGGGAGGAGCAGGACCAGTAGAGGGCGGAAGACCAAGAACCTGCTCAAGGAGCGGAATGAAGTACGGCCGTGGCCGCGCAGCACCTCCAAAACCAGCAGGGACAGCACCAGCACCCCCAGCGTCAGCTCCAACAGCTCCAGCAGCTCCACCAGCTGCTCCAGTAGCGCGAGCTCCAGCAGCACCTCCAGCTCCAGCACCTCCAGCTGCACCTCTAGCAGCACCCCCAGCTCCAGCACCGCCAGCAGCTCCAGCTCCAGCAGGACCACCGGAAGACGAAGCAGCTCCAGCTCCAGTACCTCCAGCAGCACCTACTCCAGCAGCACCGCTAGCTCCAGCACCGCCAGCAGCTCCAGGTCCAGTAGCACCACCAGGCCCGGCAGCTCCAGTACCTCCAGTACGAGCACCTCCGGGACCCGTGGCTCCAGAACCCCCAGCAGCCCCAGCAGCAGAAGGATCTCCAGCCGCAGCAGAACCTCCAGCGCCGGAAGCACCACCAGCTCCAGCAGCACGGCGCCAGCGCCTAGCAAACCACTCGCACAGCTCCTGCGGAGAGAGTGGCTCCCGCCGGGACGAAGCACCAGAAGGACCTCCAGGCCCAACACCACCAGACTCCACACGAGTAGGCCCAGCACCCTCAGGCTCCGCACCCGCAGACTCAACAACCCCAGGCTCAGCACCCCCAGACTCAGCACCCCCAGGCTCAGCACCCCCAGACTCAGCACCCCCAGGCTCCGCACGCTCAGGCTCAGCACCCCCAGATCCGGCACCCACAGACTCAACACCCTTAGCAGCACCAGAGTCAACAGCTACCTCGACAGGCTCGACCGCGTCTACCTGGGACACACCTGAGGGAGCAGGACCCTGGGGGGGGAGGGGGTCTACCGGGGGGGACCTGGCGCGAGGAAGAGCGGTGGGGGGGGGAAGGGGAGCAGTGCAAAAGGGGGAGAGACGGTAGTAGGGAGCCGACTCGTCAAACGTGACGTCCTGAGAGGACAGAACACGGCGCGAGGTGGGGTGGTAAAACTGCCAACCAGGCGCGTCAGGGGGGAAGCCAAGGAAGACGCAGGGAACAGCACGGGAGGACAGCTTGTCCGCAGACAAGTCGCGGACGAAAGCTCGAGATCCCCAGACACGGAACGCAGACGCATCACCAACCTTCCCCGTCCACCGCAGAGCAGGGGAGGTCTCCCGCATAAAGAGCCGGGGCTGAAGGTTGATCTGATGCGCCGCGTACTGAACCGCGAACGGCCACAGAAAATAGGGAGCAGCCGCATGGATCATGGACGTACGAGCGACGTCCATGACCATGCCAATGCGGCGCTCAGCAATCCCATTTTGCTTTTGAGAGGCCGGAAGCGTGATCGTCTGGCGCATGCCCTCCGCACGACAGAAGGCTCGCAGAAGGTCGGAGGAAAACTCTCCACCTCTGTCGGAGTGCAGACGCAGAACAGGAAAGTCCGAACCGAAACTCACTCTTAGCTGGAGACGAGCAGCGCGGATCCAATCGATCAACACCTCAGTGACCTCACCCTTGCGGCGCAAGGGGAAGACTGTGGTGTAACGCGAGTAGTCATCAACCACCAGTAGGAAGTAACGCTCATGGCCCTTACCACGGATGCGGGCGGGGCCCCACACGTCCATGTGGAGAGTCTGCAGCGGAGCCTCTGTCGGAGGAAACTAGGAGGAGTGAGGAGCGGCGCGCTGCCGTCCCTCGACGCAGGGAACGCAGGTAGGGGCAGGCCCCGGAGGAAGGGGAGGGAGGGACCTGGGGAGACCAGAGACAAGGACACGGGAGGCCATGCCTTGGAGACGAGGCAGGGAGGGGTGACCAAGGCGGTGGTGCCAGAGGAGAGTCTGGTGGGACAGGAGGCGACACGAGCAGGGGGCAGACTCAGGACCAGACCGAGACGCTGCAGCAGAAACCTGACCCGACGCAGCAACCTGACCAGATGCTGTAACCGAAGGAGACTCGGTCGTCAGTGTGTACAGGCTCGACCCCGGCTGATGGGTAAATGTGGCCAAGTGTCGGCCCGTCCGAGCACACGTGCAGTGGGTCACTCGCTGACTCGCAGGAGTGAACTGGTCAACCCCTCCATCCTGCAGGTCAGCACCACTCACCAAGTTCGTTGAGAACGAGGGGAGGTAAAGACCTGACAGGGAGCCAGACGGGGCCGCCGGACACGGTAGGACAGTGGAGTAGTGAGCAAGGACAGGACCTCCAGAGGGGTCTGCCAGGGAGACTGCAACCGGCCGAGTAAGCGGCGTGAGGGTGGTGCGGTCTCGAAAGAAGGAGCGGGAAGCACCCGAGTCAAGGGTGAAGGTGTGCAAGACCGCAGCAGGCGCAGCACCAGAGAGAGTAGACTCACCAGCACCTAGAGCAGGAGACTCACTAGCACCTAGAGCAGCAGCCTCACCGACACCTGGAGCAGGAGACGCACGAGCACCTAGAGCAGCAGCCTCACCAGCAGCTAGAGCAGCAGACTGGATACCGGGGTCAGGCGGCACACACAGGTGACAGGCACCCTCAGCACTAAAAGACAATGCATATATTGCAGTGAGAAGAGCATCATAGTCAAGAGCAAAGATATCTACCCTCTGCCTAAGCAGCTCCAGCCTGGAGGGGAGCTCAGCGTTGTCGCCAAACTCTGTATGCCAAGCGTCGCTTAGACGGGCAAAGCAGCGGGACTCTGTGTGACCAGGAGTCCCGCAAGGCTGACCAGTCCGGACACCCGTGCGAATGACGTACGGGCAGCGAGAACTACTTAGTGACCCTCTACTCTGAGCGTACCACTCGCGAAGCTGCTGGGGCGAAAGGGTCTCGCGCGGACGACGCTGCAGCTGCACCTGGCCACTACAAGAAGCTCCCGAACTACTCACTCCAGGACGACTCCCACTACGGCCACCCCGACAACCCCAACTAGCGTACCACTCACGAAACTGATGGGGCGGGAGGGACTCACGCGAACGTCGCTGGAGCTGCAGCTGGCCAACGCTAGGAGTAGCAGTAGCAGTAGTAGCCGCAGTAGCAGCAGTAGCAGCAGTAGCAGTAGTAGCCGCAGTAGCAGCAGTAGCAGTAGTAGCAGCGCGGCCACCCTTACAACCCCAACTAGCGTACCACTCACAAAGCTGTTGGGGCGTGAGGGACTCATGCGGACAGCGCTGGAGCTGCATCTGGCCACGCCAGGAGCAGCTGTAGCAGTAGAAAGAGCAGTAGCAGCAGGAGCAGCAGTAACAGCAGTACGGGCAGGGCAGTGCTCACCAGTGGCGAGAAGGGCAGGCGTACGACGGCGGCAACGGCGAGGCCGCTACCACTGCAGGGCAAGGGCTCCGCGGCAGCTGCAGGGGCGGCTGCTCTAGGGGCGGCTGCTCCAGGGGCCAGGGGCAGCTGCTGCAGGGGCGGCTGCTCCAGGGGCCAGGGGCGGCTGCTGCAGGGGCGGCTGCTGCAGGGGCGGCTGCTCCAGGGGCCAGGGGCTGCTGCTGCAGGGGCGGCTACTCCAGGGGCCAGGGGCGTCTGCTGCAGGGGCGGCTGCCCCTGGGGCCAGAAGCGGCTGCTGCAGGGGCGGCTGCTCCAGTGGCCAGGGGCGGCTGCTGCAGGGGCGGCTGCTCCAGGGGCCAGGGGCGGCTGCTGCAGGGGCGGCTGCTCCAGGGGCCAGGGGCGGCTGCTGCAGGGGCAGCTGCTGCAAGGGGCGGGGGCAGGGGCGGCCGTTCGAAGGTCGGGCGCGGGTTAGGGCAGGGCGCCGCGGCGCGCAGGGGCGACGCCGCGCGGGTCCCGCAGGGGAGTCGCGACGAGCGGGGGCGACGCCCGGGTCCCGTTGGGGCGTCGCGACGCGCAGGAGCCGCGCCTCGCGGGTCCCGCAGGGGCGTCGCGACGAGGCGGGGGCGACGCGCGGGTCCCGCTGAGGCGTCGCGACGAGGCAGGGGCGACACCCGGGTGGCGACGGGGCGGGGCCGCGACTCGCGACGGGGCGGGGCCGCTACGGGCAACGGGGCGGGGCCGCGAAGGGGCCGCTAAGGGGCCGCGAAGGGGCCGCGAAGGGGCTGGGAAAGGGCCGCTAAGGGACCGCGAAGGGGCCGCTACGGGGCCGCGAAGGGGCCGCGAAGGGGCCGGAAAGGGGCCGGGAAGGGACCGCTAAGGGACCGCAAAGGGGCCGCGAAGGGGGCCGCTAAGGGGCAGTGAAGGGGGCCGCTAAGGGGCAGTGAAGGGGGCGCTAAGGGGCCGCGAAGGGGCCGCAAAGGGGGACCGCGACGGGCCTCAGGAGCAGGGCAGGCCGCTAAGGGGCCGCGAAAGGGTAGGGCAGGTCAGAGCGCGAAGCGCACTTCGGGCAGGGTAGGAAAAAAAAAAAAAAAGATGGTGGGCCCTTAGGAAGAAACGGTCCCACTAGGGAACCCGCTCTATACCATGTGAAGAAAGAGGAATGACTGAACTAGCAAGGAGACGGGTACAAGTAGGGAAACCTAGCAGTGTTGTACCCCATATGGTCTACCCCACTACAGCCTACACAGACTATGTCATGTATGTTTGACAGGCGGGAGAGCCTTTGTGAAGATATTTGTAGTGTTGGCCACTTAGGCCACAAAGACCAAGCGTGCCTGGCCGCGCCGCTGTAGCTCTCGTAGCAGGAAGTAACATAGATGGATGCGCTTCAATCTGCTCTCAAATCAAGGCGCTCGAACAGGAGAGCCATGGCCTTGTTGTCAGGGATCAAGGTCGGTGCAAAGCTAGCCGCTCACCTAGGGCAGTGAGCATGAAGGTGAGCCAGCGGAGCTCCTGAGAAGCCATGGCACTGGCATAGATATCGGCCCCAGCAGTGGACGAAGCCACAGATGACGACCAAGTAGACCTCCACGACACAGCCCTAAAGCCCAAGCTGAAACAATACCTCTGCTTTGACCTGCTGGTCTCCAAGTCGTCGACTTAGGAGGAGTCATAGTGTCAAGTATGTCGCAATGGCTGTGTCACTCCAAGCACAAACACCATGCCTGATGTAGTTGCCACATACTTTGCTACCCTCGTAGGAGCCATCCAGTGCATAGGACGGTGTCTCCTAGTCGCAACAAAATGAGCCATGATGTTGAGAGGCTATGCGAGGTATGGACTTGTATAGATTATCTGGTACATGAGGTAACCCACAAGCTCTGCGTAAAGACCACTAGGCTCAAAAGGCTCGTTGGAAAGAGGAGAAGTGAGTCTGTGGTCAGCAACAAGAGGAGCGGGCAGTGTGGTGGAGAACTGAAACTCGAACCGAGAGAAGTAAGAGTGGAGCGAAGAGTGTCGTGCCACTCACGAGGCGCCTGTCGAAGATCGTAGACCAGTCGTCTCAGGCTCCATGGGGTCCCAGGTGGGAAAGTGACATTGAAGCCAGGAGGACGACGCAACCAGATTTCCTCATGCAAACTGCCTTGTGGGAAGGCAGTGGAGAAGTCTAGCGAGTGCATCCCAAGGTCTCGCTATGATGCGACGTGTAGTAGCACTCGTAGAGTGGTCATCTTTGTAGTGGGAGAGAAAGTCTGAAAGAAGTATATTTCCCCATGCAGACTGG